CAGAAGGCTTCTGAGTCGCCCGACGTTGTCGAAGCTAAATGTCGAGCCTGATGCTGATGCGGGATGGATGTGAGTGGCGATGCTGCTACTTGATGAAAATGCCAAATGGTTTGTCTCTCTCTTTATGGGAATTGTTGTTGTTCGGGATTTTGTTTTAGTTTTTGGTTGTGGCTGCTGCCTGTTTGGCAGATAAGCAGCAGAGGCAAGCAGAAGCTTTTTTTAGTTAAATTTATAAATTACATAGAAGCAAAAAGCAAAGGCTAAGCTCTGTTGCAAGTATTAGCTCAAAGTTATGTGTCTAGAAGGGCAAACAAAAAGCCGAAGCAGCAGCAGCACGGCCCATTAATCGGGACTTAGGAGCGCGCAGCCTTGAACGGGACACAGAACAAAGGATAACACAGAAACTTACAAGCAAACAGAAGTCTGCGGAAGTGCTGGAAAAGTTGCAAAAACTTGAAGCTGCAGCAACGGCGGCTTAATTTTAATTATGCGAAAGTTTTCCAGGAAAGAATTTGTAAGGGATTATTGGATGGTTGTAATCGAAATGTGTTATCTGAGGACTTCCTTATCCATCTCCCAATCATTCATCTTTTTGCTCTGCATTTATTAAGTTCGGCATGAGTCAACAGAGTCTCTCGCTTTTTGCTATTTGCCATGCAGTGCACCCTTGAACTTTTTGTTAGCAGGCAGGCAAAAAGGGAAAGAGAAGATAGGAACCGCCAACTTCCATCATCAGTACTCGTTCGGAGCGAATTGCTGCTTATCTGCTCAGTCGGAGCAGCGGCAGCGGCAGCGGCAGCCCAACACAAAACCAAAACTAGAACTAAAACCCGGAACAACAAACAACAATTCCCATAAAGAGACACAAACCATTTGGCATTTTCATCAAGGAGCAACTCACTCACTCACATCCCCGCACTCATCTCATCAGCTTCGACATCGTCGGACGACGACTCATTTGCTTGTCGCCGCCGCCTGTAATGGGAGTGCAAGGAGCATTCCTTGCCTCTGAATCCTGGCTTCTGCTAGCTGTCTCAGCTGTAAACACAAATTTCTTGTTTTTCACGCTGCCAAGTATCTGGGGCCCAGCCAAGTTCGAGCTGGATGGAGTTTTGTTCTCTCTCTCAGATGAGATGATGAAAAGGCTTGTGTGGCTGCTGCAGAAGACCATTTGTAAGCAAAAACATTTCTGCTAAATTAGTTGATGCGTTTTGGGAATTGGAATATTTTCCAAATGAGAACATGGCTGCTACATTTACTGGAAGGAGAGAGAGAGAGAGAGAGAGAGAGAGAGAGAGAGTGGAATTGTGTTTCAGTTTTTGCCACATTCATGTCACTGGATAAGCAATTTAAATTTCCATTAAAATCGCATTTAATTAAGATTAAAATTTATGCCAACCAAAGAGAGCAGAACAATCGCCATAAATGGGTTGACGTTGGTGGAAAAAGTGAGCAAGGGGGGGGGGGGGGGGCAAATAAGAGCAAACAGCAAATGCAAATGGGAAGCAGAGGGGGAGAGGGAAAAAAAGTATTGAAACCAAAGAGCAGGAGACTTAAATGCATTTTGTTGCTGCATTATTTTTTGTAAACTTTACGGATTCTCGTTCTCGGTTTCGGTTTCGGTTTCGGATTCGATTCGTGTGCTGGCTGCTGGCTGCTGCTCCTGCTCCGCCCCCTTTGCTGCCATGGCCATGCCCTGCGTCGCGTCGCTTCGCGTTTCGGTTACGAAAGCCAGCCAGATCACGAGGTCTGGCCGAGCAACATTGTATGCCAGGCCGAGGGCTGGTGGGGCGTAAAGGGGCCGCTGCAGCGGCCGACGAATGAAAATGACGAACCTTACCACCCAGCCACTCAGCCCAGAACGGCACCCACACCCACCCACCATATGTATCGGGCGTTGTAGGCGACATGGATGAACGTCGTTGGTTGGCTGCCATGGCCAATGGAGCCTATGTAAACGACGCACGCACGCACGCACCCGACCTGCTCTTTCTCTCTCTCTCTCTCTCTCTCTGCTGTTGTTGGTGTGCATCTGTGTGTATGTAGGTGACATGTACTGCAACAAGAGTCATGGCAATGGCCAGAAAGGCAGCGGAGTAAATGCAAAATCTGTAGGGAGCCCACACCCCGGCAACAAGCAACATCCACAACGAAGTAGGGGAAACGTTTACGCTGCAACATGTTGCAAGGGGCGGAGCCCGTCCAAGAGAATAGTTGGGACTATATTTTCATTTGATTTCCAGCAAAATATGCTCTAAAATAGAACTCTAAAAGTTTAATATAAATTATGAGACCTGCAAGAATTGGAAGGAAATGTACTTTATACGCACAAAATCCTGGCAAATGTCTAACTAAAATGTACGCAAAAATATCGAGTATAAAAGATGTGAATCGTTTGCCAAAACAACGCATAAAAAAGTCATTAAAATATTCCTGAATAGGGACATTTCCATAACTTCTTGCGCTTAAATGTTTTGCCATAAAAAAGCAGTTAAAATTGTTTTATTATTTATGCTATTCTTTGGAGTACTTTTATGTAACATTCGCACCTCTCGCCAGATGGTTGCAATCAAAGTCTGAGACAATTTAAATGCATGTAGAATATGTGCATGTCTCCAATGTACATTTAACGGACATTTTCTGTACAGCCGATCTAATTTTCATAAGTAATTTTCACAGACAATGATGTAAGCAGTTGAGTATTGATACCAAACAAGGGGCGCCCTCAACTGCCAAATTGATTACAATTGAGCTGTGGTCCGATTTAAACGAGTTTATGCGGTGTCAAATGTTAAACTATTCAAGTTTCCAATGACCTTATGCTTTGCCTTATCGATTTCACTTAAGAGATCTTTTCAGTGTGACCCAAAATGATGGGTAGAAAAGCTTGCAGTTTGAATTGTAACCTTTCTGGGATGGACTGCTAGGCAGGAATCTTGGTAGTAACTTTTGATATATCATAGACGGGTTTCTGACTGGCTGTATCCAACCGAACTCCTAGTGAAATAACAATATGCCAATGCAATTTGGTGTTGCAAGGCCCCCAAATGCATGCTACATGTGCTGGCAGTTGAATCAATTAAAACGAACATGCGAATTTGGCACGTTTCATTCGTTAAACCAGAAAACACCGAGCACCTATAGAGCATGCCCAAACGCGATCTGCCATATAGGGCGACACGCACACACATAGGCGTAAATAAATCCACCAACAATGGGAGTAGGTGGAGCACCCGACTTATGTAATAGTTTATTTTGTTGTTGTTTTGCCCAATTTGTGTTTGTTTTTTCTTGCTGGTGCATTCGATTTGCTCCTTTTTTTGAGGTGACCAGAAGGGGTAATGCTAGAGCGGGATGGCTGCATGTTCGAACATGTTCGATTGCAGGCGGGGCAGGGCGCCAAAAAAGTTAACTGTGGCCGAGTTTGTGCTGTAAACAGCACCAGGCCGCCGTGGCGGCTCCTCTCCTGCTTTACAGAGCCCGAGAGAGCGAGAGCGAGAGCGAGAGAGAGCGCTGAAATGCCGGCCACGTGACATTGTTGCATTTCCTGTCCAAGCGTATCTGTGTGCCTGATAAGCCTGCAACGAAGCTATTAATCAAAACAGAATCAAAAAATCTGCGCCCTTGTGTGCGTGTGAGAGAAACACGTGCCGGCATGGTTAACAGCGCTAGCTTAACAGCGCTCTGTTAAGATGCTCCGTTGACAACAAGCAGTATGGAATGGAAAATTTTCCACTGCTTGGCTGTGGTTTGGTCTACCTAACGGACTTCCGCTGCTTTGATTCTAATAATAGATATTATTGGGACCCTAAGGATGGCTGTCTACTCCATGGGATTTACGAGTAGGAATCCCATCAGGATGGCCTTGCTGCAATTAATCGCTGCTCATTGGGCGCTGGCCATTGCTGTGGCGTTCGTCAATTGTCAATTTCAATTTGCATTTGCATTTTGTGCTTGAATGTTTGCCGAAGTATTAATGCGTTCTTTCATATTAAATGATTTCCCCTCAGACGACTGGCTTCTCCATGAAATTAAGTCAATTGCAAATGTCTCAAATGTATTCCGGCTTTAGTGCTCGGCTCTTGTTTGCCCAACACTTGGCACGCACACGCGGACCCGCATCTATACGTACATAAAAGTGTCCTTGTACTTTTACATAATAAATCAAAGGCAAGCGAAACGTAAGGAAGCGGAAACGAAGTGCCGGCCGCAGAGTGTGCAGCTGCACTCTAACAGAGCTCTGGCCACTGCCACTGCCACTTCCCCCACAGCCCAACTGATAAGAGCCGGCAAACCGAACAGCTGTTCGCTAACAGCCACAGAGAGAGAGAGAGAGAGAGAGAGAGTCAGAGAGCGCGCGCCCAACGGCAGAGAGAGAAAGGCCGCGCCAAAGGTCTCTCCACTGTAAGCTGCAACTGTAAAGCGCCTTGTAGTTGACTAGGACTAAGCCAATTGCACAATGTGGGCCGACGTCGACGTCGTTGACGATGACGATGACGATGGTCGCTGTCGTTGGTGCTGTCGTTGGTGCTTTCGTGGCTGGTGCTGTTGTGTGGGTTGCAACACGAGGGACAACGATGCCTGCAACTACAACTACATGGTACACAACCCTTCGCCTGCCACCCAGCTGCGCTCGTGCCCGAGTGCCCATTATACATATCCCTGCATACAAATACATACACAACTACATCTACATCTACATCTACATTCATTTATATGCCTGTGCATGTGCGGCGTTTATGTGTTGGAACTGCTTGTGCTGTGTGCTGTGTGTGCTGCTTCTGCGGCGGCTACTGGCAGTGCTGCGCTTTCCTGGCCATGGCAGAGTCGTTGCAACAATCGCAGCCTGCACATCCGCCAGCATTCAGTTGTACGCGGCTGCTCCTTCAGTAAGGACGCACAGCACTCCCTTCAGGCCAGGCCCCAGCCAGACGACAGTCACTTCCACAGTGCAGTGTAAAACGAACTTGTAACTTGAGCAAAACCAAATCACTCAGTAGAGACCGCATCCTGGCCATGCCATGCCCTGCAGTAGCAGCAGCCGCACAGCTGGGCAGCAAAGCCGGCAAGCAGTGAGCGCTGTAAGCAGTTTACAGCCCGCCAGCATTACATAAATGCTAAGGCACTGCTAAGCGAGATAGCGCGCCGCAGATAGACTCGTTAAGATTCTGCCAGCTAATCACAGCAGCTAATTAGCCAGGCCCAGACCTTGCCACTTGCCACTTGCCACCATCCTACCTACATTCAGTGACTCGCGCTTTTGTGTCTTCTGTGCATCAGTGTTTCCTGGCGCTCGTTTTTGTTGTTTCTCTTTTTGTTGTTGTGTCGTGTGCAATTTGGTCTGTGAACATTACCAAGACACTGAACTACTGAGCTACTGCGCTACTAACTAAAGCCAAACTAATTCATATTAACTTGTTGTGTGCTCCAGTTGCTGCAGCCAGCCAGCCTGTGCAGCCTCAGAGTGCATTTTCATTAAAGTCAACAAGTTGCAGCCACATAACGTCAAATAAAAGCAGGTGAGTTTGCGTTTGCCACAGCCTCAGCCACAGCCGCAGCCACAGAGTAGGGCATGCTCGAGAGTTACTTCAAGTGTCTGTAATATCCTTTGCTATATGGTTAACAATTTGCCAGAACTTTTCCTCTGTGATACTTTCATGTGAATGAAATGTGAAAATATGCAATTTTACACTTTGCTGGCCAAGGTTTCTTAGCTGTTGAAGTCTGCAGATTTGTAAACACATTTCATATTTTCGATATCTTGAAAAAATTGACATACAGTTTGCCAAGTCAAATGTGGTCTAAGATTTCTTTATAATATTTTCAAAATAATTTTATTAGCACTCAAATGAAATCTAGATTTCCATGCAAACAAAGCAAAAATTAAGAGGCAGCGAAAAACCTTTCCAAATAAATAAAAAATTAATACAATTTTTAGCAATTAAATAACAGAAAATGAGAATATTTTTGGCTTATGTTAAACCAAGAAAAGTCTGTCAAGCGTGCCAAAAATGTGCTAAAAAAAGGAGTTTGAACAAATTATAACTATTTTTTGTATATAAATTAAATCATTTACAGGAGATGTCTTTGATATCTCTGAAAAGCTCATAAAACTATATGTACATATGCTAAAAAAAAGAGGAAATAAGCACAACGAAATTTCCACTAATTTGCATTAAACAATTTTATTTGAATAATGTTTTTATGTTCAGACAACAATTGTTTAACATTTTGCCAGCAAACTTAGGAGTGCTGAAAGTGGGAGTAAAATAAGTCAAAGAATATAAATAAAACGAATAAATATTTAACTCAACATCATTTTAGTTTTATGGCGGCACAATAATTTAAACTCCAAATAAATTACTCTCAACCTTTAAAAGAAAACCAAAAATGCAGGCAGCTGCAATATCAAGTTTGTTTGTTTTATTTTTTGTTGCATATATTTTAGCACAAATTGTGGCTGTAGTGTAAGAAATCTTGTGTAACTCTTGGCCAAGACTGTGTGTGTGTGTTGTGTCCACAATTTGGTGGAGAGTTACAAGAGGTTGCCAGTTGGGTAAGCAAAAGGTACAAAGCGAGTAATCTCTCTCAGGGGCATAGTTTGATATTGGATTTGCATTGGTTTATGAGTTCATGGAAATCAATATAGCCAGCGGGCGATTCTTGGGAAATTTATGCAGAATGGAAACTGTTTGCACTGGGGACGGGCTCCTGCCCCTTCCAACTGGACTTCCAACTCGCAATTCCATTAGGGCTGTAAGGCGAAACCAGTTACCAGTTACCAGTTGTAATTGCAATTAGTTTTATCGTAACTGGCAGTCAAATAATCAAAATATTTTCGCAAGCTTATTCGCTTCTCTCGAGCGCCTTTGTAATGCAAAACTTTTTAATCCGACGCCTTGGTTTGTTTACACGAGCTGCCACGCCTGCACAACAATGAGACAAACAAAAAATAAGAAAAAAATTTGCATATTTACACAAGACAATTTACACACTCAGCCAGGCCAGGCCAGGCCAGACCCATGGCAGACTGACAGACGGACTGCCTGACGTAGGGCTGCATGCGGCGACGGCGGGGTTTGAGTTGCGAGGGTAAGGCAGTGCTGTCTGGTTGGAGTGTGACTGGCTGCTGGGGTTGCTGCAGTGCTGACGAACTGTTACAAAGGTCCAACAAGTTAGACGTGTATGTGTGCGAGTTGGATGTGAAATATGACATGGACAAGTGAAGTGTCGAAGAGAAGTTACAATTGTGCGGCTGCTGGGCCCCTGAATTGAGGTTATTCCCCCCCCCCCGCCATGCTGCCACGACGGATGTACAGCTGCCGTGCTGGGTGAGTCTGTAACTGCAGGCGGGGAGCAGCCACTGACAGAGCGACAGTCTGTGGGTGGTGGCAGCGCATACGGAAGTAATTCGATTTTCGTTGGCATGATAATGGTGTTGATGATGGGCTCAGGCCCCGAATGACAGTGTTGTATCATTTCTCAACCAGAACAGGTTCTGCTTCCGTGACCCACAGGCAGGAGAGGACAGGCAGGAGTGAGTGACTTAATACATTTGTGTTGTGTATTTTATTGAGTTCTCTTCCGGTGCAGCATACACAGACATGCCCCATTATGATGCACAATACCATGCCGGCCCCCCCGGCACTGCACCCTCATGGAAGTCAAAGTAATTTCATAATTTATTTACAACATGGAAATTAACAAACACAATCCGCTCGGTCCACAGGCGACACATTGTGCGAATTATACAATTACAATGTTTAAAGAGAGGGGAAAAGAGAGAGAGAGAGAGAGATTTTCGTTGCACTCGACAATTATAGAATTTTATGTTTTATGTTTTTACATTTTATTGTCATTAACAGATTTTGTGCATCAGCTCCATGTGTGCGTGTTGGTTTTTGTTTGCTTACATGTGCGGTTTAGTTAAATTGGAAAATTGCCATAATACGGAGTGTAGTTAGATAAAGGGTTTTCTGCCCAAAAATTACATAAATCAAAGTCCTAAAAACGGACGCTGCAAATGTAAATGTAAATGTAAACGGTGTTCACGCAATTGAATCTCTAATCAAATTAGTCTTTTTGGGACTGTAATTAATTTTGGTTGCGTTGGTGCATAAAATGGCCAACAAAAAGTCGCTCCAATGGTTGGATTGATTACAGAGAGCTCACAGAATATGTCTATAAGAATATATAATACATTTTGAGCATGTAACAAATTTAAAAAAATATCTAATGCAAGGTTTAACATCTATTCGCGGCCAACAACAGCGATTTTCTATTCCAAAATAATCAAAATTTGTGCATCCATTGTATAATTCAAGAAAATACTTAGAACTTTGCAGCTGCCAAAATACGCAGCGCACATTATGGAAAACAACTGCATTTCTCTGGCAAGGGAACCTCCGAAATACACTTTCCAAAATTAAAAGATTACCATGAACTCCACGCTACTTGTTGGTATTTTTCTTATTTTTTCCCTTGTACATGTGCGGGAGGAGGGCAAACAGTTAATGTCCGGCCATAGATAAGTTCTGTTTTTGTGTTCGTTTAAAGCTTCGCATACTCGTAGCTTATTAGCTTAAAACGGATAAAGACTCCTCGCCAGTTCGCTCTCTGACCCACAAAATGCGTTGCCAGTTTTATTTCTTAACTCAGCCAAAAAAAATCCGATTTAAATGTATGAGCGATAAGCTGCAGTGTGAGTGGAGAATTAATGGAGAACTTAGTTTTTGCTGCAAACTTGAACTTTATGTCTGCACTTGTAGGTCTTTTTTATAACAGAATTGGCACTTTTCATGCATAAAATATAATACAAAATATGATTAAGAAACAAATTCATCTTTGCTCTTTTTTGCTCTTCCTGTGGCATACTTTTTGGGGCACTCCCTGGCACATTTTATGTCCTTGCCTAAGTAACTGCTCAATGTCTGCTGAAGACGACGCCCTGCCCCCATAAAGGGCATGTGGTGTGGCATGTTGCATGTGGCAGTGTGGTGATTGTCTTCTGTTTGGCTTGTCTCCTCCCCTTTGACCTTGTCTCTTGACCATGAATAGCTGAGGGTGCTGCCATTTAAGTGAGAGAGAGAGTCGAGTGTTTATGTCATCAAGAAAATGAAGTTATGCTCATTATTATATAAGTTTAAGTGTGTAATTAGCAATTAGATTGAGTTTAATTTGTGGAAGGAGTTTGATTTCATCTCTAATATCCCAGTGATAATTTTTTGTGCATTTTTTCTACATTTTGTATACCTCACTGATCTGCTTATGTTAGAAAGTTTCTGCCTTTGGCAAAAACCTCAAAAATATATACATTTATTTGATTGGAAAACTTAGTTCTAATTCCATTTGGAATTGTGAATAAAAAATCGTGTTGTGGCTGCACTTGAGATCCATACAATATGCAAATATTTGGCTTATAATTGCCAACCAATTTGTCGGTTTGCTTGGACACCTCAATTGTGGATGCATTTTCTCAACGTTTCCGTTTATTTCCCCTCTTTTTCTGTGCTACTTTTGCTGCTGCCTTTTTCGGTAAACAATTAGTGCGGCAACCACAAATTGTTAAATGAATTTCTGTGCTGGCATTTTACAACCCACTTTCGGCTCTTACATAAGACTGAACGGGATAGGCGATGGGTGCGGGGCTGCAGCTGCCAATTAAAGGAGACAAAAATGTCCTTTTACTAAGCCAGTTGCCTCAATAATTGCTTCAATTTAAAAATGCATGAAAAGTATTTGAGCAAGTGCTCAGAAATGCTCAAAGTAATAAAATGACTGTCTCAAGACAGTGTTTAGGGGCAGGGGCGCACAGTTTGCATTTGAAAATTGCGTAAAATGTTTGGTCCTGGTTCGGGCTAACATTTTGATTACCTAATGCCCATGAGCAATTTTATTAGGCCTGTGGTTTTAGCATGTGTCTTCGTGTCTCGGTGTCTCCTTAGGCATATTTTCAGCATTTAGTTGATATTTTTCTTGGCCTGCATCAATATTTAATTTCATTACAAGCCCAAAGAAGCCGAAAGAGCATCCACAATGCCACAGCATTGCCATGGACATGGCATTTGATCAATTATTTAAAATATCTCTTGCCCAGCGCTCCTCCTATGGCACTTTGAGCTCTGGTCAAAGTCTATTAGTTGGCCCAGAGAGTGTCTGGGCCAGGCTCGATTAGTTGGCCACATTGAATGCCTGTAAATAACATTCAGCTAAGTGTCCTCCTCTGGGAGTCCTGCTCGGCTTCTGTGTGTTTGCACCATTTACACCTTTGGGGGGCACTGAGAGGCTTCCACTTGCTTGTGAAGCTTCAGCTTTGGCTTATCCAATTTTACAGAATTTTAAGCACTTCTGCCACGTGTCGTAGGGGCTTTAAACTGCAGTGTCCAGTGCCCAGTGTCCAGTCGTGTCCACTCCAATCCAGGCCAGACATCAGAGACACAGCCAAGTGCATTTTATGTTCAGCTGCTGCTGGCCGTGTCCACATCCTTGTTCTGATGCAGGGACAGAGATTGGAGACTGG